AATTTAGTCCCGTTATCTTTGATTTCAGGAAGGCTTGTGTTATCTATCTAATACTACAAAACTTGCACGTGTAAGTGGATACTTTAGAGCACAAAGAAAAGAAAATACGATAAAGGCAAGTTTATGTTTTGTGAACAGAATCTGTTTGTCATAATTTATTTAAAGACGAACGGAAGTGAGAAGTACGCGTGTGCGACAAAACTTTAATGAGAATAACTGTGTGAAAAACTCTGAAGACGCAATTAAATGTTTAAAACATCAACGTTTTAGCGAAAATAGACGACTAATATAATTTATCATTCGGTCGTCGGCAGTAGTCGGCAGTAGTCGCGTCTCTCGCGTGTGCCGTGATAAGGTTCGTTCTAGTAACGGTAGATACATAAAAAAAAAAAGAAATGGCGAAATGTTCAAAGTGCGCAAAGATCGTAACGAAGAAGTCACCGGGATTGCAGTGTGACAAATGCGGTAGATGGATGCATGCTTCATGTGCATTATTAAATGATGATCAGTTCAAAGCCTTAGTATCAACGGATTGTGTCGATTGGAAATGCCGTACGTGCATCGGAAGCATAAAACCAAAACGTGTATCAGCGATTATAGACGATGAGGATCAGTCTGACATAGGCAGCCCGTCGACGAGGCAAGTACAAATAAGTAATCACGGTATGCTAGCGGAATTACGTCGTGAAATAAGAGAGACCATTCGAGATGAACTTCAACGTTCACTCAAATTCTACTCGGATCAAATTGACGACTTTACAATAAAAATCACAGAATATGAAAATAAAGTCAAGAGCATATCCAACCAAAATAATGACCTGCATAATAAATATAAAAACATAAATTTAAGATGTGAGGTATTGGAACAAAAAATTAATAACCTAGAACAACATCTCCTATGCAATAATATCGAGATACATGGAGTACCAAAAGAAAACAATGAAAATCTTCATGAAATATTGTCCAAAATCGCTACCAAAATACAGAAAAGACCTGGGTATGTGGTCAAGATATATAGAAAAGAAAATAAGTCTGCCGCCTCTAAGATAAGAAACCACTCCACTATTATAGTTGCCCTACGGGAAGGAATGCGCGACGAATGGTTAGAAGCAGCCAAAAAAATATCTATCACAGGAAAAGACATTGACATAGAATGTGATGCAGAAGAAAATAGAAAAATTTACCTACGCGAAGCATTAACTCCAGCTACCGCCTTCTTACTATGGAAGGCAAAAACTGAACTTAAAAATAATAAAATAGTCCAATTTGTTTGGTGCAAGAGAGGTAATGTACTTATTAGAGAGGGTGAAAAGGGTAAAATTCATGTCATCAGGTCTATAAAGGATATTGAAAAATGGACGGCTTCAGCGGTAAAATGATAGACATCAACTAAATCTGAGTTTTCTACACTGGCTACTTCTACGGTTTTTATTTTTGTCTTAATTGATTAATTTAAATTCCTTACCTATTATTATTATAAAGTTAATGCATGCCTAATATAATCTAAATAATTAAGTATGTTTGATATCGCAAATAATATAATTGAATCCACTCATGATACATGGAATGATTTTATAAATACTTTACCATCGAATAGAACTAATATTTCTTTTTTACATGTCAATATCAGATCAATGATTCTGTATTTTTCTCAAATTGAATATATAGTGACATCTAGCAATATAAATATCGATATTATCGCGATAACGGAGGCAAATATTTCCAATCACTGCAAAAAATTGTTTCAACTCAACGGGTATTCAATGTATAGTAATCTAAGAAACTATAAAAAGGGTGGCGGTGTATTACTGTATATACATAACAGATTAACATTCGAATTAAATAAAAAAATTACTAATAATTATGAAACAATAATGGGTGAAATTTCATTTAAACAGAAATACAACTTTAATATATGTGTAGTGTACAGACCCCCGGACACATGCCAAACTCGTTTCGTAGAAGAGTTAAATAGGAATTTAAATTCATTTCGTAATAGTGGCGATCTGATTGTCATTGGTGATACCAATATAAACATTAAGTTAAAGTCTCGCATGAAATCATATTATTTGAATTCCTTATGCGGAATGGGTCTGGAATGTGGAATTTCACAATACACTCGAATCGAAAAAAAAGGTAATACTATTACTAAATCGTGTATTGATCACATATTCACACGAAACATGAGCGGTCATAACATATATACGGCGGCAGTGACGACGCAAGCGCCAGCTGATCATTATATAGTTGGCTGTGTATTTGTGGGTGCGGGCGCGGCGTGCGGCTCGAAGCGCACCGTAACTAGAATGAATAACAAACAGGTTTTAAAAGAATTGAGACGAGTGGACTGGAATGAGGCCCTTGCGTACGAGCAGCCTGATGACATACTCGGCTTTATGTATAATGAGTTTGATTCTATTTACAATAGTGCAAAGATAGAACAGATAGTTTGTAATAACAATAAAAAAAATAAACAATGCGAATGGGTAAATAGTAGAATAAAACACATGTGTAAAAAAAGGGCTAAGTTATTTAGAATATGGAAAAAAGACGAAAATAACTTAGAGAAAAGATTATTATTTAATATATATAGAAACAAAACGAATAAGTATATAAATTATACTAAAAATTCTTACTACAAAAAACAAATTAATGAAAACTTCAGCAACACAAAACTAATCTGGAATATAATAAACAAATTGTGTGGCAAAATATCCTCGTCGGTCGACGAATTATTATTAAAATATTTTAATCTACCTGCAACTATTTTAGCGGAAAATTTTGCAAATGAGTTTCATCAAAATGTTAAAAATTTGATAGATCCGTGTACGAATCGTATTCTTTGTCCAACGAGATATATATACAATCCAAATGTGACAATGCGTATGAGGCCGGCTGTCATTGCGGACATCCATAAAATAATCGAACAATTAAACTATAATAAAAGTCCAGGGTATGATGGTATTCGTGCTGCCGACCTTAGAAACATTGTCGATTTGATAGCACCCGTATTAACACATCTAATAAACAGATGTATTGCAACATCTTCATATCCAGACAAATTAAAAATCGGCACTGTTCGTCCTATTTATAAAAAAGGTTGTCATAAGAATTATAATAATTATAGACCCATAACCATATTATCATGTGTGGATAAGATTGTTGAGAGATACTTAGCTAATGAGATAAATACGTTTTTGAGCGCCCATAATATAATTGATGCAAATCAATTTGGCTTTCAAAAAAATAAAAGTACCACCAAATTACTTTGTAAATTCACGGATGAAATCTGTAGTCACATGAATAACAAACGTCACGTGATTGCAGTCTTCATCGACTTCAGTAAGGCTTTTGATCTTTTGAATTATGATGTATTGTATTCAAAGCTTGAACAGAATGGTATACAAGGCCCGCTACTAGAATGGTTTAAGAAATACCATCATAACAGATGTACATTTGTAAAGATTGATGGTGCTTACAGTCACAAAATACCAACAGAGGTGGGCACTGCCCAGGGCTCGATCATCGGACCCACTGAATACTTACTATATGTTAATGACTTAAGTAATTTGCTTGAGAGGGGGTCTGTATATCAGTTTGCTGACGATACTTGCATAGTAACGGCCCATTCAGATCTCGCTATAGCGGAGCGTCTATCGCAACGCAGCTTCAACCTGATATGCAAATGGGCTCATGACACCGGTCTTGTAATAAACGCGCAAAAAACAAAAGCCATTCATATCCACTCGCCATTTTTCAAAAAAATATTTACACCATCTATTATCGCCCATGGACACTCATGCCTTCATAAGGTAAATATGCAATGTTCATGTCCAAAAATTGAATTCGTAACTCAACATATGTATATCGGTCTTATAATTGATAACAGATTTAACTGGGTTCCACATATCGGATATGTATGTGAGAAATTAAGGGCTATAACATCTAAACTATCTATTCTACGATACAAAATACCTTACATGACCTTGAGAACTTTATATATGGCCTTGGCTAACAGTGTGATCGGATATGGGTTAAGTAGTTATGGAAGAACGTTCAAAACACACTTGATTAATATCTATAACCTACAGTTAAAATTACTAAAGTTAATAGTTCCGAAAAAAATAAAAACAAACTTTTTAAATGATTTAGATTTATTTAATTATTGTGGGGTCTTGCCAATATATAATAGTGTGAGGCTCGCCATATTGATTGATGAACATCACAATAGCAATGAATTGATTGCCTATACTCGACCAAAGACATTGAGAAAGTTACAAAAATCAAAGAAATATGTGTTACCTAAATTTAATAACTATTATGGAAAAAGAAATTGGAAATATTTGTTACCGGCGATATTGAATGAAATGACTGATGAATCTGTATCTTATTATCTGAATAAGCGTAATTATAAAAAATATCTGAAAAAATACTTTCTTGATAAAAGTAAGAATGATTACATTATATAAAATTATGTTCTCATCTATTGCTAAGTAAGATTAACTTGCTTGAAATACCTTATGTCAATTGCATTGTTAAATAATAAAAATAACGTTATGTAACTATCTAATATACCTTGATAAATTATTGTAATTATTTTAGGAACGTTGTATTTGAACTCCACGGGCACTGATAAACCCGAAAGGGCTTTTGTGCGCTTATGATGTACTTTTGCATGCAAAAAAAAATTGTATATTTTTGGACAATAAAAAAAAAAAAAAAAAAAAAAGACCAGGCTGTTCGATTAAGATCCTTTTGCTTTGAACGAAACTTACCATATTTTGTTATCATGCACACTTTGTGTTAAAAAAGCTAATCATAACTTCAACTTTTATAAAATTGAAATACTATTCAAATTAACGTCCACACGGTAGCACATTATGTAACCACAAAATATCAAAATACAGCGGTGAGATATTTCTCGCAGTAAAAAATGGCATAATATGTCACTTCCCAACCTCCAAACTATCTACCGCACAAAAAATGACAACGACTCTCCATTTCGGCGTAAAAAAACACTTTCCCATTTATATTATTGAACATACAAAAGCGATAATGATTCCTCTTTTAGAATGTAAAATATTTATAAATTTAAAATGAACGTAATTTCAGAGGAATTTAAGAAAATATGGACCATTGGCAGTTGCCATATATGACAGCCCAAAATCATTCATGTTTTATTCAAAAGGAATTTATAATGATGATAACTGTAAATGGTAAGTTATAATATTGGTATACATCCATAATGATTAGTGAGTTAGGCAAGCGCGCCCCATATAGCTGACTCTAGGGGTAAATATACTAACAAAAATTCGTCACTAGTAAGATTAATTTAAATGCTGCTTTATCCGAACGCAGTTAATGTTTGTTGTGGTAGTAGTCTGACGGGTTCGGTGCTTGGCCAATTAATGAAAGGCTGACTAGCTTGAGAATGGATTTATTAATGGTATAAAAAATAAAGTAAAGAAACTCTTTTTGGGTTTCTTGATAAAAACTTGAATCGTCCAAGTTACTGAATACACATTATATTGGGTTGGCACAAAAGTAATGAGACACACTAGAAAAATCTATAACATTTCCTTTTTAAAATCAATTTTTTCGATAATATTCTAGAATGTTGTAGAACATTCTAGGTACTTCTGGTGTAGGGTAAATAAAGCCGCGCTTGCGATTTGTTTAGTCAGTTTGAAGAAAAATGGACGAGCGACAAGTTCGAACACTATACTTATACGAGTACTTGTTAGGCCACAGTGCGCGGGCTGCGGCTGACAATATCAACAATGCATTAGGCGCTGGAAGTACAAGCCATGCGACGGTGTCCCGATGGTTTGACCGTTTTAAATCAGGAGACAAGAGCCTTGAAAGTCAGCCACGCTCAGGGCGACCACCCGCAGTGAATGATGACGATTTGCGCCGCGAACTGCAGTTGAATCCGGATGCTACCACTCGTGAATTAGCGGAAGCACTTAAATGCAGTCACCACGCCGTGAAACACCATCTGCATGAGCTTGGTTATCGAAAAGTTTTGGCTCGGTGGGTACCGCACATCCTTACAGACGCTAGTCGTGCAGTCCGTGTCGCTATCTGTCAGTCACTTTTGCTGCGACCCCGACGTAAAGAGTTTTTGTCAGATCTGGTTACTGGAGATGAATCATGGATTTATTACGAGAACGATACACGTCGTGCTTTTTGGCTGCCTCGAGAAGAAACGCCACCAACTCAACCGAAGCCGAGTCAAAAGAACCGGCGAAAAATTCTGCTTTGCTGTTTCTGGGATGCGCAAGGCATACTGTTTTATGAGCTATTACACAATGAAACTATAAACGCTGACAAATATTCAACCCAGCTTACCAAATTATCTGCCGCTATCAAGAAAAAACGACGAAGACGAGTCAATGTAGTTTTACTGCACGATAACGCTCGACCTCACGTCGCATCTGTGGTTCGCCGGCAGTTGGAGAACTTGGGCTGGGAGACGATACCCCACCCACCTTATTCCCCAGACCTCGCCCCATCAGACAATCATTTGTTTAGAGCCCTGAAACAGCATTTGAGGGGTAAACAATTTAATGATTTCTCTGACGTAGAGACGGAGTTGAACAACTTTTTCGAGGCACAGCCATCAGAGTTCTGGGCAAAAGGCATCCAAACTTTGCCGGATCGTTGGCAAGAAGTCTTAGATACTAATGGTAATTACATCATTGACTTAACTTTTTTTATTGTAATAATAATAAAAAAGTAAAAACTTAAACCAAGTGTCTCATTACTTTTGTGCCAACCCGATATGTTTCCTATTTGAATAACTAATTCCATATTTAATAACAATTATTAATTTTATGTTTATATTTATAATATATGTGATTTACATGTTACAACAGATGATTTTTTTTACGAACTGACATCCATAAAGAGTATATTTGATAAGTCAAAATTTTAAATTACGAAAGGTGAATAATAAAAAGAAATGAGGTTGAATATCAAAGACAAAAAGTTTGCATGCTGAAACCTAGGACGAAATAAACGGTGGTACGGCACACCGTTATAGTACATTTCGCATTTCTTTCAGTCACCTGAAACAGATAATCTACCTACCCTTGATTTACGCCACAGATAATTTACTTCTATCACCTTTAAGATTGATAATATGAGGAAAATTAAATCCAATAAAAGTTTATCATACAAAAATTTCAGGAAGAATGGAATATCTCGGGGTCATGCTTTGACACTGATCGGGTACGGTGAAGTAAATGGTGAACGATATTGGACCTTAAAAAATTCCTATGGCCCAAAATGGGGAGAAGAAGGCTACATAAGAATTGCCATCAAGAATAATATTTGTGATGTCATGAGTAATGCCTATAGTGTTATTGCATCTTCGTAATTCCTATAACCATGGCCTTATTATAAAAAAACATTGATTATATATTTGAAATTGTATAAAAGTATCTTGTATGATTAATAAATCTTAAAATATGGAGTAATAAAATTGCGTTCATAGAAAAATATTTGTTGTATTTTTTTGTTTTAACCGAGAATAATAAAAAGTGTTTTGATACAACATTATTGTACGGGTGTTTCGTTAAACAAAAATTTACATTACCTCTGTTCCATTGAAGTTTCTTATAAGTATTTACGACACTTTCGTAATACGGGCAATTGCGAAAGATCGTGGCTTCAAAATTCATCTCAGAGGCTGGGGCTGGTGAATTTTTTGAGTATTTTTCACTAGGTAAAATTTTAAAAATGACTCAATTTATTAGTACATAAAAGGTTTGGTTTGGCTGGCAATAAATTTATTTTATATTAAAAATACTTGAATAGCATAAATATGAAGTAACATATATTTATGTATGTTTTGGTAGTGTTATAAATGTTTATGTACTAAACGATAAAACAAGCTTTCAGTTTTCATTATTGTTAAACTTTTATGAGCGAACTTTACTTTGGTTCTAAATAAAGAAAGTTAAGTATAATTTTGCCCGGTAACGGGGAAATATTTCACGTTTGCAACTCGCAAACAAGTAACTAGAAACAAACTGGGAAGACTAATAATCTAGCGTTAACAAACTACTACTTTCGAAAGCAGCCGAGAAATTGTACTGTTTTTTACATTATTAGTTTTATGATAGATTTTGGAGAAGCACACTGATAATGATATAAAATAACCGTGTGCCGGTTGTTTAAAAATAGGTAAGTACATAAATGAAAATTACACCAGACTGCTTTATTAGAGTTAGTAGACTTACGATAAATGCACAGCTCGAACAATTTGAATTGACATTTGTAAAATATTCGAGATTTTATACTCTGTTGATAATGTGTGATATTATGAACTCTGTTTTTCGACGACGTTTTTGGTTTACGCTAAAGTTAGAATCTTGAATTTTTAAATCAATTCATAGTTAAATTGCACAGCTTAAAACAATTGGGTTGCCATTTATACATTGAGTCAATGAACGTATTGGTCAGCAATAAACCTTGTAAATTGGAAACTAATACGTTGTAAGTAGTTTATAGAGGCGCGTGTTCTTTCTTTTTATGACACAGTAAAACTGGGAACCAAATTATGATATTATGTTGAATATCCCGAGTTATCGTAAAAGTTTTATTATCATGTAGTTCTTAAAAGCGTTTTTATGAAAGTTTTAAATGCGTCAAGAGTGTTTTTTTTTATTCTCTTGTGTAAATACGGTGGAATATTTTTTTGGTGTAGTGAATATCAATGGCGTTTTATTATATAGAGATACGTCATGTTTGTACATCATTGCATTTTATAACAGCGTAAACTTTATTATGGTAGAGTTACATTATAATTCAACCACGAAGAGCGCGAAGAAATCAAAAATAGTTCAACGTTTAATATTTTTAAATAAAAATTTACTTAAATAAAAATAGTAAGTACAGTACTTAAACATGAAATAACGTCGCTTTTGCTTTTCTTAGTGTTAATGTTTAATTTGTACATTGTTTAAACACGCAGAATGGCATTTTTCCTACAACTTTTCACATAAAATTACGAGCGAAAATGACATTAGCCACAACGCTTGATGAAACGTGACTAAAGTGAAACTCAGGCAGACCTTGTTTTCTTCTTGTCAATGTTATGCACAGATGAACACATATAGACTTGCGACCAACAGGTTCCACGATCAATCTACGGTGTTTCCCAAGCGGAGCAGAAACTTATTGCTCCCCCCCTGTGTGATGCGATTTTATGTTTATTTGTTATTGGGTTGGCGATGGATTTGGATATATAATTTCTTTATTTATCGTATTATGCTTATTCCCCTGGCAAGTGCTTGCCGTCCTTGACCCGACCCTGGTGATATTAACCTACTGGTACAATTCGGTTTATGGGGTTTTTGGCTACCCTATAACGTACAAGTCTGTTCCCCGTCACGTCATCTGTGTCAGTTGAAAATAGTGTGCACAAATGTCTAAAAATATATGTTTAATGAGTACCGTTCATGACACTATACTATACCAATAGGAAAAAAATGTTCACTGATACATTTTTCCTGCATTAATATAAAACTTTTTGAAAAAAAAAAATGCCTTGAGCCTTATTTATAAAAAAATGCCTAAGATTATTATCATACGTATTAATGTTTGACATCATTCAGGCTGAAAAATAATTGCTTCGCAAATTGAAAATAAATTATGTTGGTATTTTTATTTCTAAAGTCAAAGTTCTACTTATAAAAAACTATACGCATTGATGATCACCAGTAATTTTACGTTAATATATTATATTGCTTTACAATGTCACGCAGTATATTTTTTCAACAAGCGTTTTTCCTTATTAAAAACGTACGATAACTCTTTAGTGGTCGTAAAAAGGAGTCGTTTACCTTGCGAATGATTTAAAAAATTAAAGTAATAACAAGAAAAAGAATTGCGTCTGATTATCGAAACATTAATTTTACTTGGTTATATTTATAAGATTTAAAGTTAACGTAAAAATAACCTTTATTTATCATCAACAGCCCTACGACGCCCATTGCTGAGCATAGGCATTAAAGTAATAACAAGAAAAAGAATTGCGTCTGATTATCGAAACATTAATTTTACTTGGTTATATTTATAAGATTTAAAGTTAACGTAAAAATAACCTTTATTTATCATCAACAGCCCTACGACGCCCATTGCTGAGCATAGGCCTGTGTCAATGCGTTTGCATCCATCTTTATTTAAATAAACTTAATAAGTTTAGATTAGTCCATTTTTTACCTACTGCTCGTTTAAGCTTTTGGCTGACAAGAAGACAAGCAAAAGAAACTCACCAGCTATAACAGCATCCAGATATAACAGGCCAATTTGACGACCTCCGTAGCTGAGTGGTTCGCACGCCGGTTACAAGGTGTTGCCATCTCTGAGGTCCCGGGTTCAATTCCCGGTCGGGTTAATGTAGAAAATAAACTGTTCTATATTGTCTCGGGTCTGGGTGTTGTGTGATCTTCGTTGTCTCAGATACTCCATAATACGGGGGCTTTAGCTACTTATCTTGGAATCTTAGCGATGTATGTGATGTTGTTTAATATTTATTTTTATTTAATATTTTTATTATCCATTTATAACTCTTGCGCACTGAGCGTGTTGGTATGTCACTCGTACAAATTCACTTTATTTGATTCCATTCCTAATTGCGTATTTACACTGATCAATGGGGTCAGCTCGAGTAGCTCGTTGGCGTAGTGGATAAGCGCTGCAACCCGCGATCATTATTGTTAAGCAACTTTTGTAAGGGTCGGTCATGGGATTGGTGACCAAAAATTTACTTTAGTTGTTGGTCCCAACTGCATTTGCAATCGTTAATACACTCCAATCAGCGTTGGGCTAATGTGGTGGGTCATAGCCCATTCTACTTAACAAGTAAAACGTAAAAGGGCTGGATATGATGATGATGAATCCATGCCTTATGGCGAACTCCGCGCACTCCGCGTGCTGATCCCATTGACCTTTATGGTCTCTGCGCGTCCATATAAATAGTTAATAAAACTATTATCGACCAATGAAAGCGAAGAAAAGAAATCACTTGAATATTTATTAGTAAATAATTAAACATTTTTTCTTATATTATATTTTTTCATCTAATTAATTCCAAATGAATATTTGGGACAAATGTTTTTTTTTGCGTTTGCATTCGTTTGAGTAATAACATTTACAGCTATACATTTAGAATTTAAAATAATGTTTGGTATGCAAAATAAAAAGGTTTATAATCTCTCCTGAAAATATAACTTTTTGCACATTCTGGATTTTGGAAGGGCGTTATGTGCGGGTATATCGTTTGTATAAAATGAGTTTGTACGGAAAGTATGCACAGGAAATATTCAAAATTACAATTCTCGGCATGAGAGAATTTTTCGTGGAAACACTTGGTGTTTAGGACAACGCTGCGGTGAGCGAATAGTTTGCGAAAAATATTTTTCATTTGGGTATATTGCTGGTCGTTTACGGTTTATCACTAAAGTTGATTGGAATGTTTTCCCACCCGATGTACTCCTGATAACAGGTGAATATCGGAAAAATTTACTTAATACCCATATAGTTTTAGAGTCGGAAGTAAAAACTGCCGGAGTGCGTGTTACAGGCGTCCACTTTCCAAGTTTATTCAAAGGGCCTCACGATTATTATTAAAATGAGACATTTAGATCGAGGCAGGGGCGTAACTATCGCCATATGAGCTGCATCAATGATACGGGACCGAAAGGCTACAGCGCACAGTGGAAAATGGTAGAACAAGAGCATATCAAAAATATTTTTTACTTTTCTTTTTTTTCGTCTAAGGTTTTCAATATTACCCACGACTCCCCACGCGCAACTTTTTATGATAATTGATAGTCTAACTATTCAGTAACAGAATACAAAAAAAAAACAGCTGCGGTTTGCGGTTTTAGAAAATATAAGAAATAATGTGTGAAAAGTCGGAACATAAAAATCAGTATCTTTGGAGCTTTACCACAGACACCGTTCACAAGGACAATAACCAAAGTGGGTACTTCAAAGTGGGTACCAATTTGATATTGGAAAATGGGTATATAAAGGGAAGCAAAAACTATTCGAGCCATCTTCATCGGTGTAACTTCAAGTGAAGTAAAGCTCATCTACGTCAAAATTTCCGCAAATTGTGAAGCATTAAAATGTCTTCCTTTAGCTGTATTAAAGGCGAATTTATAATCCCTTATATCGAGGGCGGCAGGACTATAGAATCATTATCCAAAGTTTTAGTGGAAAGCCTCAATGTTTCTGAAAATAAATTGTGTTTTATTGTTAGTGATATACAAAGGCATATTCTTCCTACATTCAACAAGCGCTGGGACCAAGAAACTTCAGTAAAAACCAAGGCAGTTGTGGATGATATAGTAGACAAATTGGGGCTTTACAAGCATCACTGATAAACAAAAATGGTGTTTTAGTAAATGTGAAGCATGAACTATATCTTACAATGATCGATGGAAAGGTAGCTCAGGTTCTTACAAATACTCCATCTGGTTCCA